TCTGAGTATAGCTGATCAAACAAATGTGTTGTCATTGAACTCCCTTTTTCCTCCTAACCCCGTAATTTGTCGAGCTTTGCCTAAAGAATCTTTGTAGCCTTAGTTTTCTCTCTGTTGCCAGATTCTTAGATCTAGCTCACATGTTCTCCCTTGCATGCCTTGGATTCACCATTTCTGGTTTTTGCCTTCTTGATCTTATATATGAAAAGGGAAAGACTGTACAGGGCTTTGAGTTTAAATTCCAGTTTTTTCTCTCATTCTTGAATAGTATAGTCTATGTATACTACTTAGTGTAGAATGCTCTAGTTACAAGAAAAGTTGGGACATTTATCATATTGCTTAATAGCAGCTCTCTACCAGGTGTAGGCATCAGAATTCCTTGTGGAACTTAAAATATTCTCATTCCTGGGCCACACTCCAGACCTCTTGGATTAGCATTTCTGGCATGGAGCCTGAGTATAAATTCCACTGGGGATTTTTATGCAGACACTCAGTTAAGAACTGCCTTATTGGAAGGCCATCTCAAGCCACTCAGGCAGATCAATATATGTAAATATTAGTTTTCATGACCTTATGGTCTTTTCTAACACCCTTCTATGGCTTTCCTATTACTAAAGAATAAAGTCAAAATGAAGCTTATCATTCAAGACCCACTTATGGTCACCCCAGTTTATCTTGTTAATACTATTTTTTACGATTCTTTTTGATAACTATTTCCCTATCAGACTGAAATTGCAATCTGGCATCATTTATCAACCACCATACTTCTCTTATGATGATGTAGGATGTCCTGTTCCCTTACCCCTTTATCTTCTTGAAAAGAAACAACCTTTTATCTTCTAAACTCTATCTCAAAAAGGTTTACCTTCTTGATAAGCTTTTCCCAGTGCCCTCAGTTAGAAATCGCATTCCTTCTTTGAACTCCAAAACATTTATATACTTTATTTTTTACACTGATCCCTGATTGTTTTATCTCCAGACATCTTTATTCCCTTCTAAAGCTTCTTGATGAACGGTTCTGTTTGTGTATTCCACCACCACTCTCTCAGTATCATGGGTGCTTAGTTGGTACATAATAAGTGCTGGGTTTCCATCTCCTCTTGCCCCTTGTCACTTGCCCCTTCTGATTTCAGGATAGCTGATTGCATTTTTATAATGCATAGTGAAATGTATTAAAAAATGCTGCTGGTATATTAAACTGGTCTTAAGTCATTTTCCATAAAATGTAAAATATTTTGCTTTTCTTGGATTTTTTAGGGTCCCGGAATAAAAATAAGAAATTCTATATTTGGCTTTGACAGACTTCTCATGTACAGCTAATGTTTTTGTGATAATCATAGGACTCAGAGATGTCAGGCTAGCTTTTCCTTTTGTAATGTTTACTAGATATGGTAATTATTGGGAGACTATTCTTTATGGATCTCTCACATGTTAAGCATGTTTTGCAAGCAGAGATACAGACTGACTGTGTTTTTTCTGAACTATCTTTTTCAAGGATTTTATATAGTGAGCAACCTTAGAAGACCGATAGTATTTCTTTTCAGAGCAAAGAGCAGGTTTGCTTATGATCTGGTATAAAAATAGTGTCTCCTTCCAGAGTATGTTAACATAGAGTTTAGTGTAGTAAGGATAAGTTTAGTATAGTAAGGACCCTCCAGTGCAAAGAATGGGTATGCTTATGCCCATTATAAAATATTTGAGCTCTTTTTAAGCTCAGGCTTTCTTTCCTGTAACGCAACCCGTTGCATGTATACTTGTTACCTAGCCCTTCTGTGGCACCCCATGGGAACTGGGGCATAGGGAACTGGCTTAAATACTGATACTGACTGCTGCTACTGCCTTGAGTAGTAAAGTTCTTTTTCTCTGACCTAAGGGTCTTGTGTCTTCTGCCAGCATCCATGATACTGGCAGAATAACTTGTTGGTTAGCTTACAAGTAGGGTAAAATCTCAGACCCTTCACAGTTCTTGTAATAATTTTAAAGCTACTCTTTTCATACCTGAAAAATCAGCCCTTCTGTAAGTAACTCTTGTTAAATTTGGATGAGATTAGAATTCAGGTGCCTTATGACTATATTCTTTATTTTCTCCCCATTCTTTTTCATGAAAATTAATTATTCGAGTTAAAGGATTGTCATTCTGAGATTGTCCTGCTGTGAAATAATGCTATTAATAGTGTTCTCTATCTTTCTCTCTTTTCCCTAAATAAAAGCACTGCTGTTTTCTGAGGACGAGCGTGTTGATTTGTTTACTTAAAGCTGAAGTTTGGAATACATATTGTCTTAAAATGAGAAATGGGGTATTAGGGAGAACATTTCTTTTAAATTTGGGTATAACATCACTTTAATGATAAACTAGCTAAATAATAAAACATGTTAGATAATGCTAATGCTATGGGAAAAGAAAATGAAACAGAATAAGATTGTTTGGGTGGACAGAACAGTATTGAAATTTTAGATAACGTTGGCTAGGGAAGGCCTTACCTGGTGGCTTTTGAGTAAAGAACTGAAGTAAGTTCAGAGATGAGCCATGTGACTTTCTGGTGGGAAGGCATCTGCATAGAGGGAAGAGAAAAGCAAAGGCCCTCCAGCAAAGTGTGCCTCATGGGAAGCATTGAGGAGGCTGGTTTGTGATGCTTTGAAAACAGGTAATGAGAGGGTTGGAGTATTGACCTTTGTCTTAGCTGTGTTTCTGTACTTTACCCCAGAGCATTTGCTTTTATGTTTATCTATTAAGCACCTTTCGATTTGAGAAATGAGATTCCTTTCTTTAAAAACATATTTGAAAACTACTGAACTAGGTAACTTGTCTTCCAAACTATTCTTAGTTCTCATTGACAGTCTCTGTAAGTGCCTATTTTTCAACAGTCAATTTAAGTGCCAGTCCCACATTGGTGTGTTTTTTAATTCAGCAGGTATTTCAGAGCTATATTCAACCCTACTTTATGTGGTTTATTTTTAAGCCCCCACATGATTATATTCTTTGAATATATATTCTGTTGAAGAGAAGAGGCTGAGACAGCATGGAACAGTTAGAGAAATAATATAAGATAGGATTCTACTTAAAACCTCTCTAGCCAAGGTCACTTCTTACCCTTTATTACCAAATATAAAAGCTAGTTTTCACCTCTTGTTGGCCTTGAAATATTAGGACCATACCGTTTCCTTGAAACACCATCCTATCACTCTGGTTGCACCATTTCTGTTTCTCAAGGATTCCTCGTTCCTTAAATTTATGCCTTAACTGCCTCCTCTTCTCACTCTCCTTAATCTCTTCAGATATTCTCATCTACTATATGACTTCAGTTACCACCTATAGATTGTTGATTCTCATATCTAAATTTGTAGTCTAAACCCTTCTCTTGAGCTGAGGTGTGAGCAGTTGTAATAAGTTGGCGATTTACATACTCATTTTGATATTTAAAGCAATGTGATATCTTTTACCTACAAAAAAAAAAAAAAGAAAGAAAAAAGAACTTGTTTTTCCTCTCTTTACTTTGGTAAATAGTATTCTCGTCCAGTTGATTAAGTTAGAATCTGTTATGTTGGTGACTACTAGTCAAAGACTATCAGGTACACATCTGTAGTAAACAAAACTAGGTTTATTGATGTCTGCAGCAAGGGAAGCCACATACCATGGGGAACCATGAAACGTCAGTAAGATGATGTTGGACAGACTTAGAGAATGTGGGCTTTTGTTGGGTAATTTTGGGGAGAATTCAGGGAAGTGATGAAAGTTTCCTCTGAATTAGATGCTGTGAAGAAGTGGGGAATAAAGCTATGATTAGATGTCTTAATAAATCTGATCTAGGAGGTGACAAGAACAGTGTGAGGCTAAAACTAATTGGTAAAGAAGCAGCGATCACTTGTGCAAGATGGGATTTTTTTGTGTTTGCATGGAGTCCTTGCTTTTGTCTGTTCTCAGACACAATTCTACAGTGGCTTGGGTTTGCCTCACTTCCATCATAGTCACAGAGGACCTTTTCCAACATTGGTGATCTGTGAGATCCTGTTTGACAGAAAAATGCCACAGTCTAGCTGTGAGTGCTGAGCCACCTCCTAGCTGTGAAGGGCTGCTTTTCTCTCTCTGTCTCACTTATTTGGGATAGATGTAGATTGGGTGGCATTTAGACAATAGGAAAATGTATTTTAGGATATTTGAACAAATAATTTACATGCTATTGGCTACGTGTTAGGGGCAGTAATGAAACTTATTCTACTGGGAATATATCAGTAGGATCTAGGGTTATGTTGAAGTAGAGATGCCTCAGTTTATTCTTTATGTCAATCTTACATGGGCCCTTTTAAAGCTAAATGTTTGAGTACTTACTTACTATTTGCCAGACACTAAGTACTTACATTATCTCTTTTAATCTTTCAAGTAAGTTGAGTCAGAAAGGAAGGATACATATTCCTGTCTTTGGGAATAAGAACCAAACTGCAATTCCAGGTATGGCTAATGGTGTAGACTGTTAAGTAATGTTTCAGAGTGTGGGTTTTAGCATAATCGTTTGGATTGATTAGATATAAATGGTTAATAAAAATTTAAAAATAGCCTGTGACAATGTACAGGATGACCATAATCTCTTGGTTTTAGGTGTTTATTTGGCTCTCCTCATAATGTAAGCCCAAATGTGTAATGTGCAAAAAAAAGAAAAAAATAAAAAGCTTTCGGTGAAGGGTACGTGTTGTGGTGGTAAGCTGTAAAGAATTTGGCTTTAAGTTAAAATAAATATGTGTTAGAAATACTGTGATTAAAAACTATGCTGAAGTTAGGGATGAAATTACTATGAAATACATCAAAAATAGTGAATAGATATGTGATGAATTGCAAAATGGTAAGTATAGAATCTAAATGGTGGGCACATGGCTGTTCACTATGAAATTCTTTCAACCTTTCTGTATATTTGAAAGTTTTAATAATACGATATTGGGGGAGGGTGGAGGTATAAACTGACTGCTAAAGTCTTCTCCCTGACTTGAGGCTTTTGTTTTCTCTGTAGGAACTTTCCGCTGTACTTTTTGCCATACAGAGGTAGAAGAGGATGAGTCAGCAATGCCCAAAAAAGATGCACGCACACTTTTGGCAAGGTTTAATGAACAAATTGAGCCCATTTATGCATTGCTTCGGGAGACAGAGGATGTGAACTTGGCCTATGAAATACTTGAGCCAGAACCCACAGAAATCCCAGCCCTGAAACAGAGGTGAGTGTAGGCCCTGTGCTCTTACTAAGAATACTTTTCAACCTGTTCTTGTTTTAACTACCTGTACCTTGGAGAGCAAGAGTGGGTAATTTACTAGGAGACTCAAGACTGTAATGTTACATAGGTTCTCAGTTCTGCCACATTTGTTGTGTGCCTGTGATAAAATTCGTTTGTTCTAAATGCAGAACACTGTGGACTTTAGGCAAAAATTTTTATACATAGGTTTGACTTCAAGTACTCATTCTGCTTGGGCCTGCAGCATCTCAGCCAACTGTTAGCTAATCCTAAATTAATTGTGCTGCTTGGGGATATTTGAATTTTCCTAGCCAGCTTTTGAAGGCTAAAGTTCTTTAAGGAATTTTGCATTTTTGCTTTTGTTTTTGAAACTTTTTAACCACCTTTTGTTCTTGTAATTGCAACTTCCTTGAAAGTAAAGTATAGCTGGTGTTATCTATGGGTTAATACTTCTAACAGTGGGCTCCCTATTTTTATCAATGTTCCCTAATGTTTGAATTGCAGAGGTAGCCTTAGTTTTGCCATGCCAAAAAAAGTGGTTTATATTCTTTCTTGAAAAGCATAAATGAAAATTGGGGTCAAGGAGTGCTGTCCTACTATACCCTTTTTTTTTTTCTCTCCCTCTTCCCAGAATCAAGTAAGGGATATCTTTATTTAGATATCTTTAACTCCACCCACTCCCTTCCAAAGAGCTCAACAATCAGGTTGTACTTGTGTAGTTTTTAGGAGCATTCTTAGTATTTTATTTCCTGTGGTACCAATGTTACAAAATAGCCAGTCCTGAGTAAATTGGGCTGCTTTTGGATGGTTAAAAGCAATCCAATTTTACAGAAAATTTTGTATCTGTAAGAGTTATAAATTTTCTAATCCAGTACCATGTGTCAGTTAGGATAACTTTGCCTGTGATAGCAGAATATGCAACTCTATTTGGAATTAGAATTCAATGTAGAAGCAGATTGAACAATAAGAAAATTTGTCCTGCATGACCAGAAGTCCTGAGGTAGTCCAGTTCAAAATTGGTTAATTTCACAGCTCAATTATATCTGCAGGGATCTAGATTTGTTCCATCTTTATACTCTGCTTAACTCAGCCTGTTGGTTGTCCTCTTGGGACAATGAAGGGGGCTAGCCTAAGATGGCCATGTATTTCTAGGTATCATATGCAGATAAAAATGTCCAAATGCAGAAAAGGGGACTGTCCCTTCCTTGTGTCCTATTTTAAAACTGAAGAAAGGTTTCCCAGAGGGCCCCTGGGATACTATACTCTCTATCCCCCAATGTCTCACTGGCTACAATTGCTTTATATGCATATTTCTAAGCCAGCAGTTGGCAAAGGAAGTGAGATCATGTGACTGGTACTTAGATTAGTTATGTTGTAGGACTGGAGAAGGTCCCAGAGCTCTTTGGAGCAAATTGCCATTGGTGTTTGAATAAAACCAGTAAGCAAAGAAAGAAAGGAGCCACAGTTGATAAGAAACTAATAGCATCCATATCACAGACAGCCGTAAGTTTTAGTACTGGGTATTTATTTCTTTTTGTATAAGAAAAGGAATTCCTTTTTTGAAAAAGGAATTCATCTTTTTAAAATATCTTTTTCAGTCATTTCAAGTTAGCTCTAACATACAAGCTTATGAGGGAAATTGATTTTATAAAAATACAAAATTTTCTAAGCTTAGGGGTTATTTTGTGTTGAAGTATGCATCAATGTACTATCTGATTGCTTCCTACACAGTATAATACTATCTGAATTATTCTGATGTTTTCTCTCCTTCCTGTAGTTATTTGTCCTGTTTATCAAGATTCTTCCCCACTACAGTAGCATTCAGTCACCGACACCACTGGCTTCCTGCCTCTAATGTTCTCCACCTACCACAATCCACCTCCCCTTCCAGGATCTTTATTTAGTTACCCCCACTCACTGCAGGCCTGAGATGAGTCTTAGTGGTACAGCAACACCAGAGGCCCAACAGCAGCTCTCTGTATCAAGTCACTTTTTTCTCATCAGGAATGATGGTGACTTAAGGGATGAAGAAGAACCAGGAAGTAGAGGAAATAAACCGATCAGGAAAAAGGATGCCTAACAATCTGGTTGTTAAGAAAGAAGGGAGAAAATGGAGGCAGACGAGAAAGACAGGATAGACTTCCTAGAGCTGCCAGCCAGACCAAAGTAAAATCGTTTCCATGTGGTCAGGAAAAAAAATCATTAGGTTAGCAGATGTTGCCCAGATTACGATATCCCCACCAAAGCATTTGACAAGTTCCGCTGCCTGGAAATAACATGCTGGAGGTGGTATCGATTTGGTTTTTCTATACTATAGGAGTATGAAGTTTTGAAATGGCCCATCCTGGCCCAAGGACATAATAGTCCATCCTGCCTCAGTACAAGAGAATAAGCATCAATAGAGTGGTATGGGAACTCAGAGATAGTAGCTTTCTTTAAAAAAAAAAAAATGACACTATTGTTAGTTTGATTACGATCTGTAATCAGTTAAATTCTAGCTTGTCCCTAGCTCAGAAGAGGCTACCTATGCAGAACTGTCAGTAGGCCTAACCCAAGAGTTGATGGACAATTCTGTCCTTTCAGCAAGTTAACCTATTGATGATATATTAAAAGTCTGCCTATCTTTCTAAAGTGGAATTCCTTGCCAGTAACCTTCCCTTTTTCATCATCTTTTAACACTCACCTTAAAGATCTTTAACAATTTAGTTTCGAAATAATATTCCCCTGTCATATCTGAGTAAGAGTTATATCTTTTAAAAGTTCTAAAATTTCTTAAATATTGTAAAAAGATTCAAACATGAATTGTCATTTTTGTCATCTTTAATTAAAATTGTTCCAAATTTTGAAATTTGTTTGACTTGTGGTCAAATGTCTGCTGCCCCAAACTGGAATAAAACCCAACTTGAATTTATGACAGAATACTGAAAACAAAAGACTTTTTAAAAGTACTCTTGTGTTAACATTTAATTGTCCTGTTCTTTCTCTCTAGCTTTCTTGTTTTTCTCAAAGTACTTCTCATACCTTCATGAGATAGTCTTCATAGTCAATGCTAAAGATAGAGAATAGAGAAAAACTCTGTGTTCAGGATTATATATAAAGAGAAACAGTAACCTCAGAGTGAGTGAGTCATTTAAGTCTGAATCAAGGAATGATAAGGATGTGGCTGGCCAGATCAGAGAAATAAGCCTATTCTGTCTCTCCCAGCTGGGGTTAGCTAACTCAGGGAGACACATTTTGGGGTGGCAGATAGATAGAGTAGGCTCAGCACATCAAGATGGGGATGTTGGCTGAGGATAGAAGAGGCATTGAAAGGAGTCAGAGAGGCAAATGGGTGCGGGAGGAGAGGCCAGAATGTAGAGTAAGCACAGAAACATGAAGAATCAGATCAAACCAAGAGAGAAGAGAAAGAAAATGAATGCTGAAGGAGACAAAAGTTCAAAAAGCCAATCTATACAAAGTAAGCAGCATCAGATTACAGTGAAGGCAGCCACACAGCCTTTAAAAGACAGAACAGATAGAGAATGACTAAGGACAGTTAATGGTTAAATTGAGATGAATAAGAAATGATACACAAAGTAACATCAATGAATGCAGAAAGAAATAGCATTTATAGAGAAACCAGTTATTTACAATTGTAGCATAAGACTTCAGAATATAGCAAAAGAAAAAATAATAGTAGATGAATTGGATATATTTACAGAGAGATGCCTTATAGGCCTATACTTAGAGTGAGAGCAAGTAACTCATAGAAAGTAGGAGCAGTGAGGAGGCAAAATAAGTGTTTGAGGCATGGAACAGGTAGTAGAACAAAGCACTGGGAAGAAAAAGGCTGTGGGAGAAAGTGGTTTACAAAGTAGCCTTGGGCACAGAGGTGGAATAATGAAAGAATGCAAAGGCAGTACCTGGAAGGCATGGATTAAATGACTGGATCAGTGTGGATTGGACAACTGGAGATAGCATTTTATTGTTGCACAAGTAGCAGTGGCCCTATAGATATCCAGAGGCAAGACAGGATAGGTGGGATGAGTGAGCCCAAGGTTACCTCCAAAGGATGAAAGTATTATTAGGGAGAGATGTGATGGGTTAATCAGATACAGGGACACAGACCTCAGCTAAGTATGAGTTAGAAAACCCCAGTAGATAAGAAGTAGGCCCAGAAAGAATTGAAGAGTAAAGGGAGTAAGCAGAGATAAAATGACAAAAGTGAAGGCAAAATAATGAATGGCTTAGGAGGAAAGACTAATGAAATATTGATTAGATTCAGAATGAGTCAGGGCTCCACACAGGAGTTAATTCAGGATCCATGAAAAAGAGTGAGCAAAATGGAGGAAAAACAAAGAAGAAACATGATGCCAGGTCAGTCATGGACACTAAAAGAAACACCCAAAATGTTTGGAGTGAGCAGGCAGTTTAAGAAACATGAAGATGGTTATAGATAAAAAGGTACCTGTCTGAACAGAGAGGGAGGTGGAGAAGCATACGTAGAAGTTGAAGTGGAAAGCATCAGTAGCAGGCAGAGAAAGAAAAGGCATGAGCTCAGACACAGAGAATGAGGCATATTCAAAACAATTTGGAACAGATTGAGAGTGAAACAGGCAGGTAAAATGGGGAACCATTAGAAAGACTGAAAACTTGGCCCAACACAGAGAGGCAGGGCAACATAAGTGACTAGAGAAAGATAAGGAAATTATCAAACTTGGAACAGGCCAACAGAGAAGATCATGGGTAGTAGTGGTAAAAAGCAAAACAAAATAGACAGATGATAGTCACTGCAGGGTAGAATCAGTGGTTGGTGATGGATACAATGTATCAGCATAGATGTGGAGATAGTAGGATACAACCCCATAGAAAAGAAGCTAGTTTGTGCAGAGGGTTATGCCTTACTCCATGAATAGAAGGAGAAGAACATTGGTTGAGGTCAGGCTTTGTAGGATAGTTTTCTAGCTTTTTCCATGATCATCACACAAAAGAAAGGAAAAAGCACACAGAACCACTTTGAATTATTCTGGGTTGAGCTGAGATAACATTTTTAAAAATACAGTGTTTTGTTTTTGTTTTTTAAACAAAATACTGGCAGAGATTTTTGCCAGACTAGTGGCTTTAAGTATATTATGTCACCATATCACTCTCTCCTCCTCCAAGTATTAATAGATTTATCAAAACATCTTAAATCTATAAGACCTCAGTCATTTATGTACTCTAGAGGATCCAGTGTTTGAGGAACTTAAATATAAGTATGATGTGTTTTTCTAACACACTGACTTTTACCCTGAGGTATAGAAGTTCTTTCTCCAAATTGTTAAAGATTTGTGTGTATGATTGCTAGATAGCATTTATGTGTAGTACTGTAGTAATTACCTCCCAGCTGCCCTTCTTTTCTAACACCAAGACATTAATTTTTCTTCTTCCTATCCTCCTCTGTTCTTTTCATATAGCAAGGACCATGCAGCAACTACTACTGTAGCTGCTAGCCTGGCAGGTGGGCACCACCGGGAAGCATGGACCACCAAAGGTCCTTCCTATGAGGACTTATACACTCAGAATGTTGTCATTAACATGGATGACCAAGAAGATCTTCATCGAGCCTCCCTGGAAGGGAAATCTGCCAAAGAGAGGCCCATTTGGTTGAGAGAGAGCACTGTCCAAGGGGCCTATAGTTCTGAAGATATGAAAGAAGGTAAGGGTAGAAGTCAGTAAAATGGATATGTCTTAGGTTCAGTAGAACATAAACTTGGCTTAGTGGGAAACTGCCTGGGCAATTCTGGATCTGCTCTACAGAACAATTAATTGCATTATATTAAGAAGTAAGAAATTGAGCAATAAGATAAAAACCAACTAGTATACTTGCATTGCCCTTCAACTTTGTGAAAATAACAAAGAGCCTTTTAAATTTTCATTTTTAGATTTGAAAAATTGTCATGTTTATCTTAATTTCTTGGAAAAATTTTATTTATTGTGTTCAAGGTAGCTACATTCACCTCTCCTTTAATCTTATATTGCCCTGACTTACATGCATTTAATTTTTCTGAATTGGGAGCCAAAATTATATACTACCCAAAAGTTATGCTACCTGAAATATATACAAAGAGACCGCATGAATAAAGGATTGAGCATTCTCACAGTCCAAGATGGTTAGCAGAACTTTGTTCTAGAGGATTTTGGAAATCTCTGAGCCATAAGGGGTTAAGAATTGCATACTAATCTTCAGAAATTAGAGAACTGCAAGATTTTACTTTTTAAGTTTTAGTCAAAATTACTGGATTCAAGACTTTAAGTGATGATGGTTTAGGAGTATGTAGAAAATGGGAGGCGAAAATGGATGATGATGACTCAAGCTGGAAAGTAGAGAGAAAGGGTGTCTCTATTTCTGGTTAGATTTTTATCAGCATAACAATCTATATGCTGCTACTCCCAAGTTATGTATCATTACAAACATACCACCTGAGTTTGGTGTTATGTTAGTGCCAAAGAATAATCAGTAACTGAAAACCACTTGTTTTTTGGCCTTTCTCCTAGCCTCTTTTCCCTTCATAATTCGTATTTAGTATACGTATATACTAGAAATTGTGAAGGTAATGTGGAGTTGGGTAGTGATGGTAAAGCAGTTAATACCTCTACTGTAATTCTCTTTGATATATTATTATTATTATTATTATTTTTTATTTTTTAAATATAAAGATGGGGTTTTAAGATGTTGGTCAGGCTTGTCTTGAACTCCTGACCTCAGATGATCCGCCCGCCTTGGCCTCCAAAGTGCTTGGATTACAGGCATGAGCTACCATGCCCAGCCGATATATTAATTTTAATAAGGAAAATTTTTCCTTGGCAACCCATACTTTACCTCTTCCTCACTGATTAGCCTGCCATGTTGTGTTTTTTTGATGGAATGTCGCTCTGTCAAGTAGGTTGGAGTGCAGTGGTGCAATCTCAGTTGCACCTCTGCTTCCCGTGTTCAAGTGATTTTCTTGCCTCAGCTTCCTGAGTAGCTGGAATTACAGGCGTGAGCCACAATGGCCAGCTAATTTTTGTATTTTTAGTAGAGATAGGGTTTTGCCATATTGGCCAGGCTGGTCTCAAACTCCTGACCTCAAGTGATCCACCCGCCTTGGCCTCCCAAAGTGCTAGTAGGCATGAACCACTGTGCCCAGCCTGTTGTGTTATTTGGATTCAAGTTGTTTTAGATTATACAGTAGTTAGGCTATACTATTATTTAATAAATTTGTTTTCCCCAACTTGGCTTCTTGTCTGTTCTTAAAGCAACTTCTTTTCTTTGAACTTAGAAAGAAAACTGAATAAAATAAAACTATTATTAACCAACATTATATATTAAGCTCAAAAGTTTAACATTCTAGTTTACAATTCCTAGAATGATAGAATATGAATTGTATGGGCCTTAAATAAATTATCTGATCTACTTAAGTTTTGTAAATATTTGTTTCTACATAAAATAGGATAGTTATGTTGCCATGTCTAAATTTGTCTTTGTTAAGTTTCTTAATAGTAGAGCAGACTCTATCCATTGAATGTATGAAGTGAGTCTTATTTATCCTACAATTGATTTTTCCTCAAACTTCAAGTCATGTTGCTCTTTCACAATTTTATAGACTTCAATCATGTCCTCATTCCTATACTGAATGCAGTTCTAATTGCTTTTTATTCTGCTTTCCTGAAACAGTTCTCTTTCCTACTGCTGTCATCTCCTACAGTTTTTGTTTATTTTATCTTTTTCTGGACCATCTTTGTAATATACTTTACTGGAAACCGAGTGACCAGAATGATACATGTTGTTCATGCATGGATTCACCGTTGATTTGAGTTTTATTTCCAATATCTTTCTAGTTTTTACTTGAGATTTTGTTTGTTGTTTTGGTTTTGGAAGCATGTTAAGACCAAAAACTTTAGAAACATGTAGAGGTACTTTTTAGGACCTTCTCTGCTTTGAATCCAATAGCTTGGATCATATCTTTCAGTATATTTTAGATTATTTTTCTGTAGGCTGATTTTCTTGCACTTGCTGAAATAGAAATAGATCGACTTTTCTGCCCACGTCTACAACCTTCAGCTCTTCCTATATTTTTTTGCGGCAACTTGGCCTTTCAGTACCCACAATTGCTTAGCGTCAATTCTGTGAATATAGTTTCCCAATATAAGTATTCTTTGTAATTTGTAACTCTATTGAAAAAGACTGTTACTAAAACTACTGTTTCTACTTTACCATCCAGAAATTTGCTTATTTATCCTTTTTTGTTTTCTGCCTTCATCTGTAACAGAACAATTCTTTTTTTCTCCAAACCTCTCAAGACCCTTGTCAGAAATCTGTTACGTGTGACTTTAGTTTACAAAACTAATTTTCTTTTTCCCTAGTTTTATATTTACTTTAAACATTAATCAAAATACTGTGTTGATATTGTTAAAACTATTTGGAACATTCTTTTAGAAGCAATTATTGCCTTAAAGGCTTGCATGCATTCCTTACTTTTTATTCTTTCTGTTGTAATGCTGCATTGGCAGTAAGCTCTAGGGAGGAGGTTCAGCCTTTGACAGTGTTTTGAAGTAGTTAAGTTTGATTTTAACTCTCATTTTGACAGTTGTGTTATCAAAAGCCTCTTTTCTCTGACCTAAACTTTTAACTTGTCTGTTCCTGTTTCCCTTTCTCTCTCTTATCTGCCCAATATCTCATTTTAGGAGTTCTTTGCTTTCTCAAATGTCCAGCGTTTTAGCTAATTCATTCTAATGTGTTAATGAGAAGATGCTTTCACTTTACCTATAGTTAGAATTGACCATTTCTGAGCCTTCTCTTGATGATGATGATAATGATGATGATAGATAATACTATTCTAAGTGCTAGGCCCATTCTAGACACTTCACAGACATTCAGTTAATCCCCACAGCAAGCTACTGAAGTAAATACTACTTTTCCCCCTTTCTGTACTTGAGAAAATTGAAGCAGAGAGATGAAATAACTTGGCTAAAATCATACAGCTAAGTAGTGTTAGGATTTGAATCAGGGAGTCAGATTCCAAACAATACTTTTAATCTTTTTATATGTTTTAAATTGCAGTATGTTTGGTAGTACTATCAGAATGTAGAATGCAGATGATTTTCTTAAATACTTCATCTGTAATACATCAGGTAAGATATGTATACAAAATGATAGGAGGTGTGTGGTGAGAGAAGCTTCATTTCTAAAATTAGATTCCTTTTTTTATAAAGAGTTTGTAGTACGCTTAGTTTGTTTCATAAAAATAAAGCTCACATTTATTCACTCATTTGTCAAATATTTATTCAGTGCTTAGCAGAGTGGCAGGTACCTTCTAGGTAAATGGAATATACCCGTGAATAAACAAGATACGTATCTGTTGTGGTAGAACCTACATCCTTGGAAAGGAGGTGACAAAGACAATAGATGTAAGTTATTTATTATGTTAGGAAATAAGTGGTTATGGAGGAAAAATAGAGCATTGGTAATGTAGTGATGGGATACATTTAAAAGGTGACATTTGAATAAACACATGAAAGATGCAAGGGAGCTAGCTGTGTGGGTACCTAAAGGAAAAATATTCCAGGCAGAGGGAACAGGCAGTGCAAAGGCCTTGAGGTAGGAGTGTGTCTGTTATGTACAAGGAATACCATGGAGGCTACTGTGGGTAGACCAGAATTAGCATGGGGAAGAAGAGATAAGAGGTAGATGGTCAGGAAGGAGACCAAATGATATGGGACTCTATAGGCCATTGCAGAGCCTTTGGCTTTTACCTTGAGTAAAATGAAGAGCCATGTTTTGATTTTCTCTTATGCCAGCTACTGTAGTTGGTTCTTCATAGACATTATCTTATATGTTTTTATCCTGAGCCTTAGAAAGTAGATGCTTTTGTCACCTTACAGAAAAAGCTATTGAAGTTTAGAGATTAAATAACTTGCCCAAGATGCTTGTGTATAAGACCAGGATTTAAATCTACACTATAATACTTTTAAAACTGATGTACTTAAGCATTGTACTACTTAAGCTCCAGTTTGTAAGACATATTTTGAATATTTTATGGACAGCAGCTCAAAAATGGAACCAGTGAAGTCTGTTATTTTATTGCATTATTTAAATATATGTTAAAATATTATGTGTTAGTTATAAAGAAATGCCATTTACATTTAAGGATATTGACTTTCTGAGTTTTCCTCCCTAGGGGGCATAGATATGGATGCATTTCAGGAGCGGGAAGAAGGACGTGCAGGGCCTGATGATAATGAAGAAGTCATGCGAGCACTGCTCATTCATGAGAAAAAGACTTCCTCTGCCATGGCTGGTTCAGTGGGGGCAGC